GTCCGGCCCGGCCCGGCCTGGGTGAGTGGGCGCCGGCACAAGTTGCGGCCACCCCGGCCGCGCGGGGGGCTGGGCGCGGGCCGGGCCGGGATGGGGCTGATGGGGCGGGGGGCAATTGGGATGCAGCGTGTGGGGGACTCGGCTCTGTCCAGGGGCACGTGGGCGGCAGCGTGCGTGTGTGCGCGCGTGTGCATCCAGTGTGTGTGCGTGCCTGCGTGTGTCCCAAGCCTCTGGAGAGAGAAAGTGTCCCAAACCTCTTGTGTGTGTCCCTTGTGTGAGTGTGGGCCAGGCTTGCCTGTGGTTGTATGTTCCAAGGCTCTTTGGGTATGTCCCGCTTGTGTGTGTCCTATGTGTGTGGTCCAAGCCTGTGTGCGTGTGTCCCCCAATCCTCTGTGGGGGGGGTGTCCCAAGTCCCTAGGGCGTGTGTCTTTGTCTATGTGTGTGTCCCTTGTGTGTGTCCTGTATGCCTCTATCCCATGTGTGTTTGTGTGTGTGCGTGCGTGTGTGTCCCAAGCTGGTGTGTGTGCGTACATGTGTATCCCAAGCCTTTGGTGGTGGTGGGGGTGGTGGGGAGGTGTCTGTCCATCTGTCCCAACCTGGTGTCCACCTGATTCCCATAGAGGTGGGAAAAGTTGGCAGCAGAGAGAAAAGGCAGTAGGTGCCCCCACACGGTCCCAACCTGAAGTGCTGGGGTTGTCCCGTGTCTCCTGATGAGGAGTCATTACCTGCCTCTGCGGTATTTAGGGGAGGGGGTTGCGCTGGCAGCCATGCCCCCCCCCCTTATGGCTTGGCCCCTGGGCAGGAGCTTGGGGGGCCGCTCTCTTCCCTGGCTCTCCGTGCCTGAGGGGAGACACGATACCTTGCGAGGCACAAAGTCCAGCTGGGTGCTAGGGAGCTAGGCTTGGAGGGGAGAGAGGGCCCTATGGAGGCTTCCCTGCAGGTCAGTGTAGGGAGTGATATGGGGGACCATAGGAGCCCTCTTGGATGCTACAGGCCAGAAACCGTGTCTGCCCAGACCTTTGCCCCCTTCCTACTGATTTCAGGTCACTGCCATTCTCCCTCCCCCCCGCACTTCGCGTTGGAAGGAAACATCAAGATGTGCTTCCTCTGGAGTCTGGGGGAGCTTGCTGTTGACTTAACTTCTGCCAGGATGTGGGAGCTGTCTGGAGCTTGCGCCTCTGGGTGGCTGGCGGCTCCCAAGGGAATGGGAGAAGATGCGGCATAGGACCTGTGCAGAGAGTGGGGGTGTAGCTGGATAAGGACAGCTCATAAGGGACGGAGGCCTGCTGACAAAGGAATGTGGTTTGTGGGTTGCCGTTGCCTTGCATTGGCCTAACTCTTTTATTAATGCCGTTCTTTTTATCCTGGTGAGGTGTTCCCACCATCTTGTGGTTAAAGCCACAGGATTGGGAGGGAGAACACTTGAGGTCACTTCCCAGCACTGCTGTTGGCCTTTCACACATGACTTTAGCCCATCCGCTAATAGCTTAATTTTGAAAGAGGTTGAGTGCTACGGTTGCCTCTGACAAGAGCATGGATGCAAAGCAACTGTGAAAATCAGGCCAGTTGCTTTTCTCTGCCTTTTTACCTGAAAATGGAGCTAATCTGTGCCTTTACCATAGGGGTGGGAGCAGTTTAACTTGTCACTGTCTGGCCTTTTGATGTGCAGTTTGGGAACATGGGCTGAATCCCCCTCAGGTATAGCTATAAGCCCCCCTTGATGAGGCAGGCCCTTAAGGGCATATCAGTGATCGTGGGACAACAAAAAGACAAAACAGAGTCAGGAGCGAATGTCATAGATTCAAAACAAGTGCATCAAGGGTTGGGGGGACATGGAGTGAACCACACTGGCCCTTGAATGAATCCAAGGAGCCAGGGGACACTTCCCAGTGAAACTGCCTGGAGATGTAAATGGATCAGGGACAGGAAAACGGCTCCACAGTCCTCAGGGGTCCTCCCAACCAGATCTTGTCATTGTCAGGAAAACAGTTTGATTGAAGGTGCTATGGAAATGCAAGCTGCTGCTGTGTTTTGTGGTTAGTTGCTGTATCAGAGCTTGTGATGTCCAGGTCTTTAGTGACATTTAATTATATGCCAAAAAGCTGGATACAAATGCATTTCAGAAGCCAGGGGCACAGGAGCAAGTTTAGAACTTAGAGCTTTTAAAATAGTTTACATGATTTCCTTCAATTTGAACATATTCTAAGCAACTCATTGTCTTTAGTAAAACCAAGCATTAAAGGTGAAAGAAGCTGTAAACATTCAAGTCATTTTTCACTGTTTATGCTTCTTTCTTTTTTTAGTTTTTGCATCTATCTCAGCTTGAGTAATGCAAATTAAATGAGCTAATTTAGCTTCTGCATATAGATGGTTCACTTTCCTATTCTTAGTGCTGCAGAATTTGGATTGCAAACACTGCAGGCAGGACTGGGGGTGTACAGCAAATTCATTCTTGGCTGCAGTGTTATGTTCAGTGTTCAGGCTTTCTTTTAAACTAACTGTTTCTAGCCCTGGGGATTACAAAGAAAAACTTGAACAGAGCACAGACAGTGAAATGTTGCTTACCTGTTGCTTACCTGATTTGGCCAGATAGGAGTGTGAGCAGTTGTATTAATCCAAATGGAGATGTTAACTCTGAAACCCAAAGACATCCTATCCATATCAACATTAATTTACCATATTTAATTATTTGAGTAGCAACATCCAACTGAGATTTGTCTTACAGCCCAGACTGTCCCTGTAGGTGCTAGAAATTCAGTTACCCTCTTCGTCCCTGCTGAAATGTTCAGCCTTCATCTGACAACTTCTGTGATGCAGTTATGTTTTTACAGTTAACCAACAAGAATACCTAACTCGCAGCACGTTGAAACAGGGAAGCGTGGGAACATCATGAAATAAAACCAACAATAACATCAAAGTGAGCCATGATGAGTCTGCTGGATTGATTGGAGCATTCAGTTTCATAGTGAATTCAGTAATCACCTCCATTTTAAAAAGTATATGACTCTGTAGCAGAATTTCCACCCTGGAGTGTCCATTTGGCAAATCTAGGGACCTTCCCTCAGAAAGTAGACCCCAGGCCTAGTTATCAAGTCCATAGGGCCTTGACCCCAATAAGCTGCTCATTTGAAAACAAATAGGAAAGAAAACCGTTCCATCTCTCATGGATTTATAAAAACTAATTTTTATCCAGTTTCATAAATGACCAGTGTCCAATTAATTTTTTGTGTTACAAAATTTTCCTTAGATTTATTGTTTTCTTTGGATCTTCTACAAATTACCTCTATGTTCTTTACCTCAAATCTTTAGGGTGGGTGGGGAGGAGCAGATATTTGAGTGTCAGGATAACTTCTGTGAGTAGTTTAATTAGAATCTATATGCACGCTACAGCTCATTTGTGTGCTGCTAATATGTTTTGTAGGTGCATTTCACAAAAACTTCCTCACCTTGCTCAGGATAAATCCTGAGTGCCAGGATGCATATGTTGGACATAAATGGCTGAGAGACTGAATATTCTATTAACTTGTTTCTGCAAGTCAGCAGAATTACTTCTAACTACATCCAACATGCAGAACTATGTACAGGCATGGAAACTTGCATCAAATGACTTTTCTGTTCATGAAAGCTGCTAGACTGAGTATGTTGACAGAACCGCATAGCATTCAACTTGTGACATGGGTGTTAAGTGGTGGCAGCATTGGAGGGGTGTTGGGGTAGGCCAGCGTACAGGGAGAAATTCCTTCTTTGGGTCTTTTTTTCCAGTACCTATCATGAAAAACCTACTCCATTCCATAAACTAGTAGCTCAACTCTTCACAAGTATTTTTATGAGGCTTAAGAATAAGTCATCTCTGGTAAGGCGGTGTTTGTGCATGGAGTGTCAAACTCATTTGGTCCTCTAGGATGCATCTGGACCATGGGTCTTCTCATGGGCTGGATGACCTACCTCTGGCAGCAGAATGGGTGGTGGCATTAACCCCTGCATACTGACTGGGCTGAGACGGTGGCTTAGGTACTAACCTCTGTGGCTGCCTAACCCTTGTACTGACACGGTGGCTTAACACCACCACTACTCACATTGTCACTCCTGAAAGGCATTCCCAGTGAGGATCAGGATCTGAGAATTGAGGGAATTAGCACCCAGGGAGTTATTGTTCTCACCGATGCTCACTGATGCAGAACTAGACTCTTAACTTGGAAATTTGGTGATGGACTGAGTGACGTCAACTCTCTGGATGTTGGCCCTGCCAACAGAAATTCTGGCCATGTGCCTGGATCTGGAGGTGGGTCTTTAGGACCACAAGTAGCCCCATGGGCCAGATGACACCTCCACAGGCTGGATCCAACCTATGGGCCATATGTTTGACACCCCTGGTTTGACACCCATCTTTAGTGAGCAGGGAGTGAACTCTGATTTGCTTTTTCCTTCTCCATGCATGAGGAATATTTAGGGAGATGACAGAATATCTGTTCGTGAGACAGACATAAGAGCATGCCTTGGGAGATTGGGCCCCGTGGTTTGAAAGCAACCACTAGCTTGGGAAATACTTGTCAAACTATTCTAAACTTTCTGGTTGTTGTTCCCAGGATTTGAGCTCATTGCCCTCAAAGATAAACTTTGAGAGGATAGATTGTGCTGACTAAGGCATAGTTCTGCAGGAAGCTATGCACAGACAGACTTCTATGACTGTGGAGAGCCTCCCGGCCTTCAAGCTGACTGTAACCAAAGTGTATTTTATGTCACTGATTGTCATTACCCAAATGGAGAGAGGAAATAACAGGCATAGAAAATGAAAACTGAATTGAAATGTTAACATTTTTGTTATGTTTGATATTTAGAAGTGTTATGTTTAACATGAGATATGGTTTACAAAACAATCTTTTATAGTTACATTTGCCCTATGTTTATCACTCCTGTCCAGCTTCCCCTTAGCATGCATCTAAACTAAAGGAACCACTGGCAGTGGTAAGACTGAAAAGATCCCTTGTTGAAAAAAGTCAGTGAAGGATGTAAACAAATTGTAGCTTCTTTAGTTATAGAAGTGTTGTACTGTTAACCAATAGAGAGAAATTAAGAAAAAGGAAGATTTGGCCTAAATAACAACTTTTTTTTGGTAGTGAGATACATTATTAGGCTGTTGAATGGGCTCCCGAGTTGGGTCAGAAACATTACAGTTTAGGACTTCTACACCTAAAGAGAGAAAACATTAGAATGTCTGTTCTAGGTAGGGGACCATATTATTTTTAAGCAAATCCGAGGCACTTCCCCCTCCACCCCAGCTGATCCCTACCCCCAGCAGGAGGAGCAGTGCCCAGCTCAGCCCCCCCCACTCCAGCCACTGCTCAGGAGGAGCTGGGCCCGGCAGTGCGGGCAGGGTGGTGTCAATCCAGGACTTTTGTTTCCATTTTCACCAACTGGCTGGGAGGACCTACAAAATCTGGCACTCTCATGGCTAAGCTGGGATGTACGGGCACCCTAGTTCTAGGGAATCTTTTTCTACTGGTGCCAGAGAGATGAGAGACTAAATCATTTTGTTCATCTTTAGTTTCTCTGGGTCTTTACCTTATGACCAGAGACAACCTGAGTAGGCTGCGGGGCCCGGGGCAAATCAACCTGTGCATATACAAGTCCGCCCCCGGACATAAGGAATCTGGCGGCAGATTTGGTGGGGGGAGGGCGCTGAGCAGCTGGATGTGAAGCCGGTGGCAGCGTGGAGTCACTGTGGTCGCTCCGACTGGCTCTGTGGGGCCCCCCAAAGCATGGGGCCCAGGGCAGTCGCCCCGATTCACTCCCCCCTAGGGATGGCCCTGCTTATGATGATAGCATTGAAGTAGTGATGTCTGCTAAAAGGACTGTCACATTGATTTTTAGGTTTACAATGTGTATGTATGTGTGCAGTCTAATAATAAAAGCATAGTAGGAGTGTTTGCCTTACTTAAGATCCTTTGAAACACCTTTTCCCTTTGGTAGTATTTGTAACTCAAACCTTGTAGTGCTATATTAATGCCTAATAATTCTGAAGGTGGAAGTGACTAATAGGTGGGGAGTTTACTTTTCAGTGTTTAATGCTATTTGCTTCCTTTCTGCTGTTTGAAGCAGCATGAATAATGAAATAAGTTTTTCTAAAGCCTACACTGCACATGGCTCTTATACCAATATCAGTGTGAGAGTAGGGGTGTGATTTTCACATTGATATTATTAAAGCAGTACAGCCCTGTGGCGTTGCTGCAGCTTTACTGCTCTAAAGCAGTAATATAACCGATTCCTGAAAAGCTTGTGGTTGTGTGTCAATCTCCTGAACTATTTTAACCTCACCTGAGAGAGACAAAACATGCAGGATAGTGAGGAAAAGCCTGGCATGGCAGTCCGAGAGAGAGGAAGGGAGGATGCTTTCTTTGGGAGGAAGAAGTAGACAAGGAGAATAGGAGTGATGGAGCAAAGAGGAAGAGAAGACGAAACATCAAACTCAGTAGGGTTGAAAGCAGTCCAACAATTTTCAAGACTTGATTCCAAATTTATTGAAGAGCTGGACCAAAGGGAAGTCCCAGAGGAGACAGAGGGCCTTTTGAGTGTGCTGTATTACTCTCTTGTGGGTAAAGAACGCTACATGGACCTTGAATGGTATTATTCCCCAATGAGGGGGCAACATTAAAGGAGTGTGTCCCGAGGTTTAGGTCTGTGGTATTAGAAGTTGAGATGAAGAACCACAAGGGTGTGACCTAGGAGATTTAGCCTATCAGAAAGCTATACATTCAGTGTAAGAACCTTTTGACCGGTAACAAATTGCATCTGCAGTGAGGGATATGTCGTGGTAATGACCTGTTCCTAAACTGATATACTACACTGCTTTAACAGCCTCTTATAGCTGTTAACCCCAGTGCTTCTTCCTTTGCCATTTAATATTGTGCCAAATCCTTGCAACATGGCTTTCTGGTGTTAAACATTGTTTTAGCGGTGTTTACGGGATCATGTTAAATTAGTGCAAAATCGCACCCAATTGGCATTATGCATGGACAAAGAGATTTTTTTTCTGGGGTTTAAAAATGATTGGGAAATGACCTTACAATCCTAGTTTTTCTTTATAATTCTCTCCATTTTTGGCAGAAGTTTTCCACACTGGAGTTCAGAGTGGGGGTGTTTTGCTATTGCATTTGTTTTATTATTTTTCAGTTAAAAGGAGAAGGTGATTAGGAACAGTCAGCATAGATTAACCCTGGGCAAGTCATGTCTGACCAACCTGATTGCCTTCTGTGATGAGTAGGGATCTTTGTAAATTGTGCCAGAAGTGCCCAGCACTGCAGAAGCTCCTTTAATGTTTTTCATTTTGCCGCCTGCCTCCCCCCTCACCTCTGATTGGCAGAGGGGCCCTGCTGGCTGGGTTGTTTGCTGCTGATCACTGGGGAAGCAAAAACTGTGGTTTTAAGTATGCCATTGTTTTTGCTTTCTCGGTGATCAGCAGCAAATGGCCCAGCTGGCGGGGCCCTGCCACCGATTGGGCAGGGGGGACAAGCAGTGACATTAGCAAAGCTTTTGATACCGTTTCCCACAGCATTCTTGCAAGCAAGCTAGGAAAATATGGGTTGGATGAATGGACTGTAAGGTGGTTAGAAAACTGGCTGGATTGTCAGGCTGAAACAGTACTAATGGCTCAGTGTCTAGTTGGCAGCTGGTACCAAGTAGAGTTCTGTAGGGGTTTGTCCTGCAGCCAGCTTTGCTCAATATCTTCATCAGTGACCTGGAAGATAGGATGGAGTGCATTCTCAGCAAGTTTGCAGATGACACCAAGCTGGGGGGAGTACTAGATACATTGGAGGGCTCAGATTAGGAGCTAGGATTCACAGGGCTAGGATTCAGAGAGACTTTAATGAGTTGGAGGATTGGACCAGAAGAAATCTCATGAGGTTCAACAAGGACATGTGCAAAGTCCTGCACTTAGGATGGAAAAATCCTATACACTGGTACAGGTTGGAGACCGACTGGCTAAGCAGCAGCTCTGCAGAAAAGGACCTGGGGGTTACAGTGGACAATAAGATGAATATGACAACCGTGTGTCTTTGTTGCAAAGAAGGCTAATGGCATACTGGGCTGCATTAGTGGTAGTGCTGCCAGCAGATCAAAGGAAGTGATTATTCCCCTCTATTCTGCACTGGTGGGGCCACATCTGGAATATTGTGTTCAATTCTGAGCCCTCCGCTACAGAAAGGTTGTTGACAAACTGGAGAGTCCAGTGGAAGGCAACAAAAATGGTAAGGGTCTGGGGCACATGACTTAGGAGGAGAGGCTGAGGGAGCTGGGCTTATTTAGTCTGGAGCAGAGAAGCCTGAGAGAGGATTTAATAGCAACCTTCAGATACCTGAAGGCTGGTTCCAAAGAGGATGGAGATGGACTGTTCTCAGTGGTGGCAGATGACAAATCAAGGAGCAATGGTTTCAAGTTACAGCAAGGGAAGTTTAGGTTGGATATTAGGAAATACTCTCACTAGGAGTATAGTAAAGCACTGGAACAGGTTACCCAGAGGGGTTGTGGACTCTCCATCCTTGGAGCTTTCTAAGACCCGGCTAGTCAAAGGCTTTGGCTGGGATGATCTAGTTGGGGATGGTGCTGCTTTCAGCAGGGGGTTGGACTAGATGACCTCCTGAGGTCCCTCCCAATCCTAATTTTCTATGATTCTGTGATTCTAAAACTATTATATGTTTTTCTTGGCATTCACTTATCTCAAAACCTGCTTCATTTAATGCTTTGTGTTGAAAATCTAACTGTGAGTAAGGAACAATTGCTCATCTTATTTGGAGTCGAGAAGTTTTTTTGAAATACTGTAGCTGACGTGATGAAGGTTTGAAAATGGCATGCTAAACACACCTAGCATGTTTGTTTCCCTGCTAGGTCAAGGCCAATGCGCAGAGTATTATTTATATGAATTTGAGAGAGCTTGAGGAAAATTCCATCAGGCTAATGTTATTTGCCTTGCCACAAGAGGGGACCTTTACCAGCAACCTGCCCAGAAAAAGTCTTCACTTCAAAATAAAACTAAAATTCTAGCCTATAGGATTGCAGAGAAAACCTTCCAAGTATGAGTAAAGTGATGAAGTGTCTTACTGCTAATCTTGGAGATGCATGGCTCCATTGCCTGTGCTGTGTCCCAGAGCTTTGCCAATTAAGATGTGGAATTAAGACTGTCTTGGTCTGTTATCAAGAGTGATGGGAGCAGTGAAGCGGTCAGGAATCCTGGAGGGTTTCAGGACAGCAGTGTCACTACTGCATAAGGTGCTGGAGTTACTCACTGAGTAAAGAGGACCAAAAATGCAAGCTCAAGGAAGGCTAGATTTAATTGAGCTCCTGTCCAGATGCCAGATGTCTTTTCCCAATTCCCAGAAAGATCTTCTGTGATGGGGTAGAAGGAATGATTTCTCTCTCAGGATTATGAAGAGTTAGAAATTCATTAGCTTTCTACTAGTCAAGCTTGAGACTGCCATCAGAGATGAAGTCTGCTGGCTGGGTGAAGGGACAACATTCTGAAAGAAATCCCAGCATCCCACCTTCAGAGGCAGCAGTTAGGAGGTAGGGTTTGTCACCAGGTCGACATTCCCATTTTCCACAATCCCTTACATTACAAGTTCATGCTTTAAGGCAGGAAGGAAAAATGGCATTCATTCAGGAAAGTAGAGCATGGAGGGATTATTTGGGTGGGAAATTATTTGGGTAAGAGAGATTTTTGGAACAAATGGTATTGAAGAATGGGGAGATAATGCTTGGTGGACCGTTGCTGGGAAGAGAGTGTCTACTCTGCGTGCAAAATGCAGAATGGAGCAGCAAGTCTGTCAGTAACAAGAGGAGGATCAAGGGAAGTGTGGGTCCTTTTCTGAATGGAGGAGGCAACCTAGTGACAAAGGATGCAGGAAAGGCTGAAGCGCTCAATGCCTTTTTCACCTCAGCCTTCATAGGCAGGGTCAGCTCCCAGACTACTGCACCTGGCAGCACAGTTTGGGGAGGAGGGGAGCAGTGGTGAAAGAACAAGTTAGGGACTATTTAGAAAAGCTGGACATATACAAGTCCATGGGGCCGGATGGGATATACCCTAGGGCAGGGGTAGGCAACATTTTTTGGCTGGAGTGCCAAAAAAACCACAATGTCTACTTTGGAAGGTGCCAGAGTGCCAGCATACCAGAAAAACAAAATGAGGGCAGGTACATGGCAGGACGCGCTGCATATTAGTATATTTAATAATCATAAACGTTGCCTTTGTTGTTGTATGTTCCTTTTTTGCTAAGCATGTTGCAGAGAGAGAGAGAAAAGAGAAATAAAAGCAAGACAAGAGAGAGCGCGCGAAAGAGAAAGGAAAAAAGGAGAGCAGAGAGAGAACCAGACACATACACATGCACACAGAGAACCAAATACACATGCACAGAACCACATGTGCACAAACACAGAGAATCAGAACACACCCAGAACAGACACATGAATGTGAATAGGATGGGATTGAATACAGACAAGTGCAGGGTACTGCACTTGGGCAGGAAGAACCAGCAGCATACCTATAGGTTGAGGAACTCCCTTCTTGAAAGCACAGTAGCAGAAAGAGATCTGGAGCCATTATCGATTCTAAAATGAACTTGGGCTGCCAATGTGAGGCTAACTGCACGGCTAACTGCACCTTGTCAAGTATCCACAGATGCATCGTGAGTAGGTCCAAGGAGGTGATCCTCCCCCTCTATGCGGCACTGGTCAGACTGCAGCTGGAGTACTGCGTCCAGTTCTGGGCACCGCACTTCAGGAGGGATGTGGAAAGCATGGAGAGGGTCCAGAGGAGGGCCACTCGCATGATCAGGGGGCAGCAGGGCAGGCCGTACGAGGAGAGGCTACGGGACCTGAACCTGTTCAGCCTCCACAAGAGGAGGCTGGGGGGGGATCTAGTGGCCGTCTGTAAACTTACCAGGGGGGACCAGAGGGGAATGCGTGAGACCCTGTTCCCCCGAATGCCTCCCAGAATAATAAGGAATAATGGCCACAAGTTGATTGAGAGTAGGTTCAGGCTAGACATCAGGAGGCACTACTTCACAGTCAGGGCGGCCAGGATCTGGAATCAGCTTCCAAGGGAAGTGGTGCTGGCTCTTACCTTAGGGGTCTTTGAAAGGAGTCTTGATAACTACCTAGCTTGTGAGCTTAACTTAGTAGCGGTCATATGAGCCCAGTGTTCATTCCTGCCCAGGGCAGGGGGTCGGACTTGATGATCTGCTCAGGTCCCCTCCGACCCTACATCTATGAATTCCATGCGCACACACATTCAGAACCAGACACGTGTGCACAGAGAACCAGATGCACGGGCACATGGAGCCGGGCTGCTGGGCCACCAGGCATAGTCTCACCCAACAATGCCCTGGGCCCGCTGGAGCCTCTGTGCTTCCCCGGGGAGCCAGCCCCTAGGCTGCAGCAGGGCCAGCCAAGGTCCCAGCCCGGAGCCTGCCCATCGGCCTAACTATCCACCCACTCCACACAGCTAAGGTCCTAAGCTGGCAGGACTATTCAGGACATCTAAACCATTATCTCCAGAGAGGCTGGGAGAGCACATGATGGTACATCCCCACCACAGTCCCTCTACCCTGGTGCCAAGGCAGCGGGCAAAGGGGAGCATCAAGGAGTGTTTTCCCCCAGGAAAGCAAGCCACACTGGCTCTGGACTGACAGCGCTGGCTATGCGTTACATCCTACTGGGTCCAGGGCACTGATCTGGGGTCAGGCCAGCACAGCAGGGGAGGAGAGAGCTGGGCTGGAGCCAGGGGAGTCTGTCCTTGTACCCTGAAGGGACTGAGGCAGTAAGCCAGAGCCTCCTCAAGGGCTCCTGGGGCATGACCCCCAACCCCAGACCTTGGCTCCAGGGAACAAATCCCACCCTCACTCTAAGCTGCAATGCACAGAGGCACAGAGGAGCAGGGGACTTGCCCATGGCCATGCTGGACAGCAGTGGCAGAGCTGGGGCCGCTGGTTTGGGGTCCCAGTAGGAGACTGGAACAACCCCAGGCTGCATCATCCCATGAGAAGCAGCCATGTGGCTCTGCCCAGTGTCTCTGAGAGCTCAGGCCTGGAAGAGGGAAGCTTGTTCCTTCCAAAGATGATGTCCAGAGGCCAGATCACCTCAAATCCAGCTCCCAGCACTCCCTGGTTCTCTGGAGGGGCTGGATCTGGATCTGGATCTCTGGAGTGCCCAAGCTGCTCAAAACCTTGAAGCAATGCTCCTGCCCCAGCCTCACAGCTGTGAGCCCAGAGGCTCTGTGACTAGAACTGACCAAATAAGCTCAGGAATAAGATTTCTGGGCTCTGGACACTTGCAGCAGGCAGGCTGCAAACAGCTGCGCCGGGCTCTGGCATCAGCTCTGTACTGGCGCATGCATGCACACCTCAGAGCGGATGGTGGGGGAGGAGCCTGAGGCAGCGCAGCCCTGGCCTCTCCCCTGCTGCTGGGACAGAGCTGATGACGGCTCTGGAGCCTGGTGCAGCTGTTTGTAGCCAGCCTGGGCTCTGGGCAGTGGCAGCAAGCAGTGGGCAGGTTGCAAACAGCTGCGCTGGGCTCCACAGCTCTGGCATCAGCTCCGAGGTGTGCGTGTAGTCACCGCCATCATGGAGCGGACAGCGGGGATAGGGCCGGGCCCTGAGGCAGCGCAGCCCTCCCGCTATCTGTCTCAAGGTGCACGCGCAGTCACCTCTAGCATGGAGCTGATGCCAGAGGTGTGGAGCCTGGTGCAGCTGTTTGCAGCCTGCCCGCTGCTTGCTGCCACTGCCCAGAGCCCAGGCTGGTTACGAACAGTCGAACTGGGCTCCGGAGCCACCATCAGCTCTGTGCCGGCAGCGGGGGAGGGGCTGGGGTTGCACTGCTTCAGGCCCCTCCACCACCATCTGCTCCGAGGCGCGCGTGCATGTGCTGGTACAGAGCTGATGCCAGAGCCCAGCGCAGCTGTCCCACCTGCAGCCAGCCCTGGCTCTGGGTAGCTGCTGCCAATCATGGAGCTCGGGCTGGCAGCAGCTAGCCACAGCCGGGGCTGAAAGTGGCATGCCAAGCAAAATGGCCTTGTGTGCCATGCTCAGCACGTGTGTTGGTGGTTGCTGACCCCTGCCTTGGGGTGCTGAGGGAGTTGGCTGATATGATTGCAAAGCCACTGGCCATCATCTTTGAAAACTCGTGGCGATTGGGAGAGGTCCCAGATGATTGGGAAAGGGCGAACATAGTGCCCATATTTAAGCAAGTGAAAAAGGAGAATTCAGGGAACTACAAACCAGTTAGCTTTACCTCAGTCCCTGGAAAAATCATGGAGCAGATCCTCAAGGAATCCATTTCTAAGCACTTGGAGGAGAAAAATGTGATTAAGAACAGTCAGCATGGATTCACCAGGGGCAAGTCGTGCCTGACCAACCTGATTGCCTTTTGTGACAAGGTGACTGGTTCTGTGGAAGCGGGGAGACGGGTGGATGTGGTGTACCTTGTCTTCCACAACATTCTTGCAGGCAAGTTAAGGAAGTACAGGCTGGATGAATGGACTGTAAGGTGGGTAGAAAACTGACTGGAGCATTGGGCTCAGTGGGTAGTAATTAATGGCTTGATGTCTAGTTGGCAGCTGGTATCAAGCGGAGTGCCCCAGAGATTGGTTCCTGGGGCCAGTTTTGTTCAATGTCTTCATCAATGACCTTGAGGATGGCATAGGGTGCACCCTCAGCAAATTTGCAGATGACCCCAAGCTGGAGAGAGTAGTAGATATGCTGGAGGGTAGGGCTAGGATTCAGAGAGACCTAGACAAATTGTAGGATTGGGGCCAAAGAAATCTCATGAGATTCAACAAACACAAGTGCAAAGCCCTGCACTTAGGATAGAACAATCCCATGCACCAGTACAGGCTGGGGGCTGACTGGCTGGGCAGCAGCTCTGCAGAAAAGGACCTGGGGGTTACAGTGGACCATAAGCTGAATGTGAGCCAGCAGTGTGTCCGTGTTGCCAAGAAGGGCTGCATTGGTAGGAATGTTGCCTGCAGATCAAGGGAAGTGATTATTCCACTGTATTTGGCACTGGTGAGGCCACATCTGGAGTACTGTGTTCAGTTTTGGGCATCCCAGTACAGAATGGTTGTGGACCAATTGGAGAGAGTCCAGTGGAGAGCAGTGAAAATGGTTTATGGGCTGGAGGACATGACTTCTGAGGAGAAGCTGAGGGAACTGGGTTTATTTAGTCTGCAGAAGAGAAGAGCGAAGGTAGATTTGATAGCAGCCTTTGACTAACTGAAACGGGGTTCCAAAGAGGATGGAGCTGGATTGTTTTTAGTGGTGGCACGTGACAGGGCAAGGAGCAATGGTCTCAAATTACAGCAAGGGAAGTTTAGGTTAGATATTTGGAAGAATTTTCTCACTATGAGGGTAGTAAAACACTGGAGCAGGTTACCCAGAGAGGTGATGGGATCTCCATCCTTGTTGGTTTTTAAGGCCTGGCTCAACAGAGTTTTGGTTGGGATGATCTAGTTGGGGATGGTCCTGCTCTGAGCTGGGGGTTGAACTAGATGACCTCCTGAGGTCCCTTCCAACCCTAATTTTCTATGATTCTAAGTTGTGCTGAGTGATACTATAGGAGAGAATTGGGAGGAGGAAGTAAGAACAGAAACAGGCAGAAACTAAAAATTTTAGGGCTTTGAAAGTGAGGGCACAAAACTCTGTTTTGCTGCGGTTAAAGACAAGCCACTGAAAGGATTTGAAGTGTGGGAAAATAGGAGATGACAGTGTGGATTTGTTTAAATCAAAGTGCCTTGAGTCGCAATCTAGACTGATATGCAGGAAGCCTTGATTAAAGCATTGATTTTAATCTTGTTTTCCATGTATGCTTTTTAGCTGTTTTCTTAAAAAAGGTCTTTGGCTGGTGTAATTTAGTACTGCTTTTTGCTAACCAGGAGAATACAGCACATCTGTACCCATTTATTTACATAATTATAGAGCCTAGCATACATTTATTCTGTCTTTACTATTACATACGTTTGTTATGTTACAAAATAGTGAATGAAGGTTTCCCTACTGAGTAGCTGTAGGTTCTCATAATTATATATTTAATTTTAAATAAAGTTATTTTAAAAAAGAATGGGGAATTTAAATAAAAATTAGTTGAAAAATATCTGATATTTTTAATCATGGTTTTTTATCTATCCAGGGAAATTCCATGTGGAATAGCAGGACAGAGACATGATTTACAGCATTGCTTGATATGAGAGAGAGAGTTGAGATGGAGGATGAAGAGGAAAGGCTATGTCAATAATGGAGCAAGGAGACAGGGCACTTGAAAGGGCTTTGACAGCTGGGATAGAATGAGTTTGGGTGAAACTGTGTTCCAAGAAGCACTAGGTATACTAATACCAATCCTGTGGC